TTTTTTTTTAAAAAAAAAAAAAAAAGGCAAAGACTTAACAAAAAGGGTCGCGATTAGGGCTTGACAACAAAGCTTCTTCAACTTAAACAAAACAACAGAGCTTCTTTGACGTTCTGAACTCGCGATTAGGGTTCTGCCATCATCTTCTTCTTTCAGAAGCTTGAGGTTCCTGCCATTGAAAAACCAAGTATGCTTCTTCTTCTTTCTTCTTTCTTCTTTCTTCTTTCTCCTTTCTCCTTCTTCTTCTCTTCTTCTTTCTATTTTTTTTCCTCTGTTTTTTGTCGAAAAGAACAGAAACAGAGGTCTGTTTTGTGCTCTATTTTTCGAGCAAAAACAGAGGTCTTTCTTCTTCTCTTAACAGAAACAGAGGTCTGTTTTTGTGCTCTATTTTTTTTGGTTCTGTTTTGGCAAAATAACAGAGGCTGCTTCTTCTCTTAACAAACGCTCTGTTTTTTTCAGGCCCTGTTTTGTTTGCCTTTTTTTCAATTATTGACTTATAGTCTTATAGAGTAGAATTAATTGCATATTGACTTGATAATTTTTTTTCTATAAAACAGCGTTGAAATGGCGTCATCCGATAGTAATAAACGAAATGATATAGCTTGGAATTATGCTATACAAGGCTCATCAAGATCCGCAATTAAATGTGTGTTTTGTGAAAAAACATATCATGGTGGGATAACTCGTCACAAGCAACATTTGATAGGTGGATTTAAAAATATAGTACAATGTCCCCTTTGTCCGCCCGAGGTTAGGGAGGAAGTAAAAGCGTTTGTTGATAAGAAAAATGTGACAAGAACTCAAATGAATTTTGAAGCATCGGTGAATCCAATTGATGAAGATGATAAAATGGATGAAGATGGTGAAATGAGACCTCCCCCCCCCAAAAAGAAAACTCATAAGATATCTTCAAATAGTTCTAGTGGGTCGTCCACGACGGCACGTACGACAAAAGGTCCTCTCAATCTTTATTTCTCGGCAAAACAACAAGAAAACGGAAAAGGTGAAGAAGGTCTAGGTATAGAAGCCAAGAAGATTTTGAGGGACCGCGCCGTAAGTGCCTTTGCAGCATGGATATATGATGCAGGGCTTCCTTTCAACTGTGTTAACTACAAAACTTTTGATAAATTCATTGAGACCGTAGGACAATATGGCCCAGGAATGAAGCCTCCTAACTATCATGAAGTTAGAGTAACTCATCTTAAAAAAGAGGTGAAGAAGATAGACCAAATTATTAAGGAGCATAAAGTGCAATGGAACAAGTTTGGATGTTCCATTATGATGGATAAATGGACAGTACGGAATGGAAAAATAATCATAAATGTGTTGGTGAACTCTCCAAGAGTAAGTATTTTTCTTGAATCTCACGATGCTAGCAACTCTTCTACGGATGGAAGCAAAATGTACAGCTTGTTTAGAAAAACTATTGATAAAATCTGAAAGGAAAATGCTGTACAAATTGTTACAGATAATGCTAGTGAGAATGTTAGTGCGGATAGGATGATGGAAGCAATGTATCCACACATTTATTGGACTCCATGTGCTGCCGATTGTATCAACTTGATGTTTGGTGACATATTCAAGGAAAACCCATATGCTTCAGGTAACTTTAATATAGTTATCTTTAAAGCCTTTAACTTTATTTATACTTATGTCCTATCCTATTAAGTATTAACTATAAAATTGTTATTGTTACTTTTACAGTTTTCACTAAGGCCGTCAGGGTATATTCTTACATCAGTCAGAGGCCGCCGATGTTGAATTTGATGAGGAAATTCACAAATGAAAGAAATTTGGTGAGACCGGTCAAGACTAGATTTGCAACGGCTTTCTTAACTTTGCATAGTTTTTACTTGCAAAAGAAAAACTTGAGAAAGCTAGTTCTTTCAAATGAATGGAAAGATAATAGATATGCAAAGGAAGCTGTGGGGAAAGAAACTGCCAAAGTTCTTATTTCTCCATCATTCTGGAATGACGTCGTTCGAGCTCTTAAAGTTGGTGGTCCTTTGATTAGGGTGCTTCGTATGGTGGATGGGGAGAAAAAATCACCAATGGGCTATCTTTATGAAGCTATGGATAGAGCCAAAGAGACTATTGCAGCGTCATTTGAGGGAGATGTTAGGAAATATGAGAAAGTTTTTGAGATAATTGATACCAGGTGGGAGAATCAACTCCATCGACCTTTGCATGCAGCAGGCCATCTTGTGAACCCGGGATTATTTTACAAGAACACTAGAGATGAAACTTTGACTTCAGAGGTGTGGATTGGATACCATGCATGTCTTGAGAAGTTGGTCCCTAATTCAGCGACGATAGATCAAATAGGGGAGGAGTTTGGTAGGTACTCACAAGCAGAGGGCCTATTTGTTTACAAGCGGCCATTAGAGTCAGAGACATAAGGTCGTCAGGTAACTAACTTTAATATAGATATCCTTATAACTTTAAATTAATTTATTTGATTTATACTTATTAACTTTTAAAATATTTTTCTATAGTTGAATGGTGGAAGCAGTTTGGACATCAAACTCTAAACTTGCAAAAGTTTGCCATCAAAGTACTAAGCCTAACTTGTAGTGCATCTGGATGCGAGAGAAATTGGAGCGTATTTGAGCATGTAAGAAGTAGATTTATTATATTAATATATTTTATATTGTATTATTATTAGTATCGATTAATTAATCTAAACAACTTATGCGCAGATTCACTCCAAGAAAAGGAATAGGCTTGAGCTATCGCGTCTCAATGATCTAGTGTATATTAAATACAATAGAACATTGAGGCGACGTTATGAAGCTCGCGATACCATTGATCCAATTTTGTTGGACAACATTGACGAGGCAAATGAATGGTTAACTGGAGCCCCCCAAAATCATGAAGATGAACAAGTGTATGAAGGAGATGATCTTGATTGGGGTACTGTTTCTATGGCGGTTGGAGTTGAGGAGAATATCTATGGTCTTAGAGGGAGTTCTTCAAGTTACAAGGGAAAGGGAGTAGCAAGTTCAAGCCGGTCCCTAATTGATGAAGACTCCGAGGATGAAGAAGATGATAGCCAATATAATGCTAACATTCATGAAGTTGTAGAATTTGAAAATCTTGAAGAAGAATAGATGTTGCTTGTTTTAGATTATTAGACTTTAGTTTATGAATCTACTATGAGTCTATGACTATCTATTGAGTCTTTAATTTTTGAATGATATATTTATTAATATATTATTGTTATTGAGTTTTTAGTTATATGTATATAATATTTTATGTTTTTGTATAAATTGTCGCTTCACATCAAAAAGGCGAGCGCTTCGCTGCGCGCCTCTCGCCTCAGTGAAGCGGGCCCTCGTCGCTATTTGTCGCCGCACGTTATCCAAAATACTGTGACTGCTCTATCTCAATTCTCAATTAAACAAACTAAACCCAAGAAATAAGAAGTATATATCAAATAACATTGTTTAAGTAAGTCAAAAGATGTTTAAGGTGTTAGCTTAGGATAATTAAAGCCTTAAAACGTGCATGAGCCAGTGTCCACGAATTGAGGTGCTAGCTTCATGAATTGTTTTTTGTTAAATAGTCATCCCAAAAGAGATTAAAGTTGGTTTACACCCAAGTAAATCTCAAGACGGGTACCAATTTTATCTTCTCTAACACCGATACGAGGTCATGTAAAATCTAACTCTATTTGAAATTAGGAGATTGCGTGTAGAAGTTTTCCTTTCACTTCCAACTCCCGTCAGATTAGTTAGACGGCCACTGTTTCCTAACTCCAGCATTAATTACATTATGAAACGAATTCCAGCACCAGTTCAAAGTACAAAAGTAACATGATGTGTTAAATCATGGTTATTTTTGTTTTTATGGAAATTTAATCCGGGTATAGGCAATACTTATTGTTATTCCACCTTGTAGGTGGTATAAAATTATACTTAAATTGATGAATAAACTAATACATGTGCCACACCTCCTTTTTGCGAAGATAAGGAGTTTTTTCAATTAAAGTGACATTATTAGAAATGGGATTAATTTTATTTATTTATTGAAGAGAGTCGCCACTTGGAATAATTATTTACGGCGTCCCAAGTCGCCATTTATTTTAAATCCCAAATCAAGGAAAATTGACTCTATTTAAAGTCTGCGAACACATAAGACCGGGTAAGGAATTCTGTTAACCCGTGAGAAGGTGTGATGCACTCCCGGATTCAGTGGTTTTAGCACGGTCGCTTTACAATTACATCTGGCTTAATTATCCGATTATTTATCTGTTTTAGACCTATTATGCATCTTTACCTTTTTCCCACTTTTATTGTATTTCGGCCATTTTAAGTGTTTATGGAATTTATTTGAACAAGTTACGATATCGTACACTTGTCGTTTTATACACATCGCAAATCGCGCTACGTGAAACGCACCCGCAATTTACGACATGTTTATTTTTATTATTACTTTGAAGTTAGGGTCAAGTCACACGGGAGTGCACTTGAATTTGGAATTACGTATCATGACTATGCCACGGGAACCGTACCTGTAGTCACGATGATTCATTATTAATCGCGCCTAAAACAGACTACGAATATTCTTGAATTATTGTCCTAAACTAAGATTCAAATGTGTGGGTCATGAGTTATGAAAATTTGTTGTGGAAGAGGTGACCTAGATCTGGCTTCATTTGCGATGAGCTGCTAGCAAGATTTTTTTTGGCCCAAATCCACTATTCTCAAACCCAAAAGTCACTTTATCTATGAGCATGGTCGGTTTTGCTTAAACAGATTGTAGTCTTCCTCTCTCACTACCATTTTCAACTATAACAAAAGAAATCAATGAAACCAATTAATAACATCTGTTACTTCAATTTAACCAAAAAAACAAGTTATAGCCATAAATGAATCCACATAATCAACTAACGTGAAACAACACAAAAATGCTAATTAAAGAAACGACCAAACAATGGCCTTTTGATCCTCTCGACCCTTTATTAGTTTATATCTTTGCTTAACTATCAGTTCATTCTTGTGAGTAGACGGCCTCACCTCGACAATACCATAGGAACCCGACGAACAAACAACCTCAAACATCAGTATTCATCAAACCAATTGTGAATGACACAGACCAACTAATTACTAAATAAACAATTAACAGAGAATAATTAAAGCACAGAGGGAAGTAAGGACTAAAGTAGAAATGGACCTTTTAGCCAGAGATTCCTTTATTACTTTGAAAATGAGAAGCTTACGAACAAATCGACATGGCTTCAAATGTACAAAAAGGAAACTCTCACGAACTAAACCGAAGCTGCTGAACGGAAACCTCGTCGGCGAACTCGACTTGACTGAACCTCAATTTTTAGCGAAGTTAATGGAGCTATTTCGTGAGGAGAACTGCTGCGTTTTGTGGGTGTTTAGGGGTAGTTTAAGGTTGATTTGGAGCTGCATTCCATGACTGGTTTGGGGAGGAGAATTTTGGTGTTAATGGAGGTGGGTTTTGCAGCTGTACAAGGTGAAGTTTTGGGGAGCTACTGTTGAGCTTATTTCTGTGGGGAAAAACAATCGGGCTTTGGATGAGTTTAATCAATGGAAAGGCTGAAATTTGGTGCTGGGATTTTGAGGTCGTTTTCTCGGTGGTTTTGGTGAGTTTTAGGCGGCTGATTTTGTGAGGAGGAAGACGACAACCCCAACTCCTTTTTCTTTTCCTCTCGTTCTCTCTCTTATTTTTCGTGCCCCAGCCCCCTTCTCGTGCTCCCCCCTAAATGTGTGATGGGTGTATACTAGTAGGAACTTGTATTGGTTATATATATATATATATATATATATATATATATTTATATCTACTAGTATTAGTGTACATGTGTATAGTATTAATTAATATAAAGTATATATAAAAAAAAAATTATTGCATATGTACCTCATACTGTTGAGTACATCGGTTTTAAGAAATTACATATAACGTTATTAAATAATATATATAACTTATAAAATAAATATCAAAATAAAAAATTATAGGTTCCTGAAAAATGTTGAATTGATCCGATTTAGCTAACTTAATAAATGAATAAGTCTTGCTCCAACCCCTCATACTTCAGATGCCTCATAGTAACTTCAAGCTTTGTCTCCAATTATTGAAGTTATCTGATTTTCTTCTTTCTTGTGGTATTAATTAATAAAATATACTTGATAAAAAAATCAATAACAAATTATAACATAATCTATTCTTATTCCCTAAAATTATGTTGTCCGAACTTGACGTGATGTCCTTTCATAAGTTCTTCTATAAGTTGATGTTGAGTTAAAGAGTTTACCAAAAGGTAGTGAGAGAATTTGTATCTAGGGAGTAGTATTTATTAGAATATGTACTAATATTTTTGTACACAAATATTATAGAATGAGTGTTTAATTAAAAGATAAAAAAAATCGTTCAACTCTATATATGCATGCATTTTGGTCTATCATTTTTTTTTACATTAGATCCTTCCACTTTTATAGTAATTAGTTTCAGGTACGTTTTTTTGTGTGTACCTCATTTCAATAAGTATGTAATTTTAAGAAATCACATAAATAATTTTTATAAATACCAATTTGTTGTTATTGCTATCATCTAAAACAACAAAAAAAAAGTTATCCAAAATATTTCTTTGGACTTAAGAGAATTATTTTATGAAAATTGTTATTGTTCCTGGTACCTAATACTAAACACAAAGAAATAACATAAAAGTACTTTTATCACAAGTATTCAAAGATTTATTAAATAAAACAAATTAAAAAATGAATCTTTTGGCCTTTTAGAAATGTGAAATGAAAACATTGGGACATGTCATTTGTTGGAATAATGCAAAAAGGAAAACAAACTAATGACAACTCATTTAGAATATATTTTTTCTTCTATTTTATGCTTATTGCTTCAAGTTTACCTTTTTATCAATGACTCTTAATATTATACTATAACTAGTTTTGCTCTATCTTCTAGTTCTTTTCATCGTTCTTCTTATGGAGATAAATTTATGTATCCTAGGGTTTTATCAACCCGAAATATATTCTTACTTGTATGATGAATTTGAAAAATAATTAAAAAAGATTTTTTATTTAGTTTATGTAAACACTTAATTTTCTTCTCAATATTAAATAGAGTTTAACTAATTTTTTTCTCGATATTAAATATAGTTTAACATTTTTGGATTCAAATTCTTACTATTAGCTTATCCTTTATTTTAAATATTTAATCATAATTATTCTTTATTCAATAAGAATTTATCGGTTATTTGTCTTTTATTAAGTATAATTTTTGTATATTATTAAAATATTATTAAACAACATATATTGTATAAGTATAAAAATAGTCCCAATATTATGTTAAAATATATTATCAATATAGGACGTTCTAAACAAAATGTTTGATTAATTTTTTATTCTTATGTTGGATAAAATGGTAATTAGTATGATTTTTTTAAAACAATATATCATTAGAGAAATATTATACCAAAAGTCAAGAAATTTTTTCATGTTAGTATCAAGGACTTAAAATCCAAAATTTGAAGCCAACCACTTGTACTTTGATTTGTGAATTCGCTAAATGTTTCTTTAAAAAGGTTATTTGTCTTTTATTAAGTGTAATTTTTGTATATTATAAAAATATTAATAAACAGAAAATATTGAATAAGTATAAAAATAGTCCCAATATTATATTAAAATGTATTATCAATATAGGACGTTCTAAACAAAATGTTTGATTAATTTTTCATTCTTATATTAGATTAGATAAAATGGTAATTAGTATGATTTTTTAAAAACAATATCTCTAGAGAAATATTATACCAAAAGTCAAGAAATTTTTTCCCGTTAGTATCAAGGACTTAAAATCCAAAATTTGAAGCCAACCACTTGTACTTTGATTTGTGAAGTCGCTACTTGTTTCTTTATAAAGAAACAAAAAGTTGGGCATAAATATTAAGTTAATTAATATGAAAGATATTATATAAGGTAAAATCTTAATAGAACTTATGGTCCTAAATATTAGGAGCTTTCATTTAACTCAAATAAAGAAATATTTAATAACCACAATTTTAGATAATCTCAGATTTCTAAATATTTGGAAAATAATTTAAATTATAATTTTGTCCAATGTAAAATCTATTTTAAGAAGTAAAAAAGGCGAACGGCATTTTGCTAAAGGCCTTCGTACTTTTAATATAACTAGTATCTATGTTTGTGCGATGCACGAAGATCCTGTGACAAATTTTATCATGCATGTTCCA